TTCAATATTCCACTATACACTCAACATGATCTTCTTTGGATGAAATCCTCCTCTTGGTTGTTGAATTGATTGGTGGCATTTAATGTTATGGTAAAGGATCCACTTCTCATCACCTGTAGCAAGCCTACCTAAAAAATGGTGCCTGAAGGTATCTTGAAAGCAATGATTCACAACAAGCAACATGCTGTTGCAGATTCTCTGGCGACAGTCCATGTGGGAATAATTTCCCAACCACTGTAACCTTTACGAACTTTTTTTACCTGGCGTAGCCCGCTTGTATGGTCTACGTTAAATTGTTCTGAAAGTTCCCTACAGATGATGGTGGGATTATCTGTGACAACAGCTTCCAAGTCTTCGGAGTAAATTTTTTTTTTAGATGACCCTCTTTTTGCTTGTCATTCAAACTGAAATCCCCCACTTCGGAAACAGGAAAACCACCTCTTGTAATTTTTTCATTCACTGTATCATCTTCATAAGCTCTGTCAATAGACTTTGCTACTGTACTTGCATTGACACCTTAAATGAAACTCATAGAGCAAGATATGTCGAATGTGATCTTTAGATGGGACGAACATGGGTGCGAATATTTCGGAAGATCATGAAAAATGATTTTTATAATCTGAAAGAGAACGGTATAAATTACTTATTGTGACATTAATAATTACTATCTAAATCTTTCTTCTCAAAAATCGGACATTGCTTTTGCACCAGACTGATAGAAAAGGCAAAGACAGGCAACTTTACGGTGGTGCGAAAGTGTTAGTTGCAGAGATGCCAGATCGAGTCCAATAATATTGCTGATTCTTCTTTGGATTTGATCAAGGAGCTCTAGCAGGAGCAATCGAATTGAATTGAACCCTCACGGATGTTACTGAAGGCCAGATAAGAAGATGGAAATGGGTAATTTACTATTTTTTTTTTTTAACCAAGTTCATTCCAAATAAGGCTGTAAAGCCATAGAGACGCAAGGAGTATAGAAGAATTAGAAACAGGAACAGCTTCCAATTTTCTGTAATAAAGTTTTTGGACAACCCTCTTTTTCCTCGCCATTCAAACTGTAATCCCCACTTCGGAAACGGGAAAACCACCTCCTGCAACTTCTTTCATTCACTTCATCATCTTTATGTCTATAGACTCTGATGCTACACTTATATTGACACATTTAGGAAACTCATACGGCATACGAACCGGATCTTTAGATGGGACGAACATAGCTGTAAATATTGCATAAGATCATGAAAAAAGATTTTTATAATCTGAAAGAGAGAGGTATAAATTACATATTGTGACATGCCTTAACTATAACGAGAAGTACAATTTTTATAAATACTATCTAAAACTTTCTTCTCAAAAATCGGACATTACTTTTGAACCGACCTGATATTTTGAAATCAGGCGACGTCTACCATTAAACTGCGGGAAGCGTCTACAGTAAAGCAAAGTTCAACAAATTAAAAATGTATTAATTGGTTAAAAATTACATTGTTTGACAAGTAGAAAGTTCTGCTTCTGCTGAAATGGGGATAAGTATTTTACTAATAATTTAATAATTTTTTTATTTAATATTTTGGGATAATTAAATGTTTTAATTACTTTTTCTTTATTTATTCTTTTCAAAACTATTTTCCCTTGATGGGCCCCTTACATGGTTTACATGATCTCTTTCTGGTTCGAAGAACACGCTTTGAGTAATATGTATAGTACAATAGCGCTCAAATTACTGACTGATGTAATTAAAATTAGAATTAAAATGAGGTAGCGTATATTTTTTACTGCTTTCATTCGATTATCGTAAGTGGCATCCAATTATTTTCGCTCGGATTTAGATACGAACATTTTCGTGGTGCTATCCGAAGAAATAAGATAGATAGATAGATAGATAGATAGATAGATAGATAGATAGATAGATAGATAGTAATACGTGAAATTAAATGTTCGGATATCTTGTTCCTACTCAGAGTTTCACGGAGATTAACCTCCACTCATCAAACAACTGTAAAGTTTTACAATTGTCTATTACTAATTGGTAAAGTGACAAAATCAGTAGTACGCATTTACCAATGACATATTCACTGTTTCAAACTTGACATTTGTAAATAAATCCTTAAGAAGTCAGAGAACGATTTGACACTGTATTTATGTTATGAAGAGGACATCCACTTTTACAAGGAAAAAAAAATTCAATATTTTTCGATTTTGAAACATGTCATCTTTAAAGAAGGGTTCAGTGAATATTAATCTAAAACAATTATGTACACCCCAACACGTTCTAATTTTTTTTTTCTTTTTTTTAATTTTTTTGCGAACAAACAAGTTACTTTAAGTAGTCCCATGAACATAAACAATAATTACAATAGTATTTTGGTAACTGGCACATTTGTGTACATATGTCAGATTTCTTCTTCTTCTTCTTCTTCTTCTTCTTCTTCTTCTTCTTCTTTTCATTTTCTTCTTTTTCTTCTTCCTTTCCTTCTTTTTTCTTCTTTCTCTTTCTTCTTCTTTTTTTTCCTTTTTTCTTCTTTTTTCTTCTTTTTCTTCTTTTTTCTTCTTGTCTTTTACTTTTACTTCTTTTTCTTCATTTCCTTCTTTTCTTCTTCTTCTTTGTTTCTTCTTCTTCTTTATCTTTTTCTTATGCTTCTTCGATTTCTGGTGTATACTCATTTCCTTCCGGGGAGCAACCACAGACCTAAACTCAAAAACGGCATCATGTCATTTTCACTAAACAATTTTTGCAAAAACATAAAAATAAAAATAAAACAATCTAAAATCACACACATTTTACATAGATAAAGCCCTTTGTAAGGTCTGAGCTCTCTACTTGTGAGAAAAAATCTTTGTATTGCTTTAAGGCCTGGGCTACCAAGAATCCCTTCAATGGGTCTATCAGAAGAATTTCCAATGATATCTAGAACTCCATCCACAACTGGAATTATTCATGTCTCCATGTGCCACATTTTTTACATTTCCAATTCAAGATTGTATTTTGATAGGTTTTTGAAGATTTTCAAAGATATATTACGGTTTGCAGGAATTGTCATGTCAATTATTATTATTATTATTATTATTATTATTATTATTATTATTATTTTCTTTGATTTCTGGCGTTTACACATTTCTTTCCGGGTCCCGCCCAGGGACCTAAGGTTAGAAATGGCATCATGACAAAAAAAAAAAAAAATAAATTACATAGATAAAGTCCTTCGTAAGGTGTGGGCTGTACTTGTCAGAACAATTTTTGTATCTCCTTGAGGCATGGACTTCCAGGAATCCCTTCAATGAGTCTACTGCAATCTTTTCCAACCAGTCCTAGGGCTCCAACTACAACAGGGATTGTTGATGTTCCCATATGCCACATTTTCGAGATTTCTATTTCAAGGTCCTTGTATTTTGACAACTTTTTGAATATTTTCAAAGATACATTGCAGTCAGCAGGGACTGCCATGTCAATAAGGATGCACCGTTTTTGTTTGTGGTCTTTAATAACAATATCTGGCCGATTGGCCTTGATTGTTCTGTTAGTGTGTATTGTGTAGTCCCATAGAATTGTAACAGGTCCTATCTCCGTAACCGGGTCTGGGTGGTGTTCATACCAGTTTCTTTCAGTTTCCTTCCCGTAGAAGTTGCAGATTTTCCAATGCAGATATTGGCCCACTCTGTCATGTCGGGTGTTATATTCAGTGGGTGCCAACACCGTACAACCTGATACAAGATGATCAATCGCTTCTGGATATTTATCACAGAATCTGCATTTTGGGCTAACACAATATTTTAGTATATGTGCTTGATAATTCCTAGTTAACAAGCATTGGTCCTGCGCAGCAAGGATAAAACCTTCAGTTTCCGCTTTCAACCCTGCACTACGTAGCCACTGATGGGTATTATTATTATTAGTATTATTATTAGTAGTAGTAGTAGTATTAGTATTAGTAGTAGTAGTAGTAATAGTATTAGTATTAGTAGTAGTGGTAGTATTATTATTATTATTATTGTTATTATTAGTAGTAGTGGTATTATTATTATTATTATTGTTAATATTATTATTATTATTAGTATTATTATTATTATTATTATTATTAAGCACTCACTGGTGATGGATTATACCGCTGCTCTCCCTTACAGTAATTATTTTCATACTAAAGATAGAAAGAAAAGTTTCTTTACAATAAATTCCCGAATTTCGCCAAGTTTGACCTCAAATATGTCCGGTACTAAAACCATGTTTTCTTCTTTTTTCCTGTCTTCCATTTTTTCAAGGATTTTATTCTTCAATTTGTCTCTTTTCCTTATGATTATCTAATGATGCATCTTATTAATATCATACCACTTCAGGACATTTGATTATTATCTAAGGACCGGAAGATGTGGAGGGTCATGAACACCTAAGTCCTTAAGGGACAAGGCACAAAAAGA